AGACACCACTAGCGCCTTCGGGAGGGCTCCATCTATTGGTGGGGAGCGGCACCTGCTGGAAAACGGGTCCAGCGTGGCCAACGGTCACCACGAACTGTTGAAACACAGACCCGGGTTCGAATCCCAAAGGATTCGTAACAATTTGGAACATTTCTCGATTTATGCGTGTCATCCTTGCACAAGGGCCAGCCGGTAAGACCTCAAGCCTGTGGCCCAGTCACCCCTCCTTCCTGTGGCCCAGCACCTCATATAGAGGAGCTGCTCTATATGAGGTGCTTTCCCCAGTCACCCCTCCTGCCTGTGGCCCAGCAGGCCTGCCTGTCTGCCCCTTTCCCGTGGATGACTGGCCATCCACGGCTAGGCCTCGGCACCAGCCTGTTGGCCCCCTGGCTCGAAATCAAACCCTGTGGGCCCAGGAAATAGAAAAAAAAAGCTTCCTATTTCTGCCGCGTCGCGGCCCCCACACCCGGCACGACCCTTCATCTAAGCCTACTTAATAAGCCCTGAATCACGGCTCTTAAGCCGCGCATCATCCTTTTCGGTAGGATAGGTTTCATTTTAGTCCTTCAACAGCCTCATGCCCCTATGGCCTTGACGAAACCGAAGCACAGCCGGTTACTGTTGTTCTCTCCGACGCCACAAGCGTCCAGACCAAAGCTCAAAAACTTTGTCTTTCAGTCATAGTCCAGGTCTGAATAAACGTTTGGCAACGTCAGTCTCATGAACTTCCCCAATTCAACGACAAAGTCGGACAGCGTCCTACATTGAAAATCCCCGGCAAATACCCTGACATATTTGCCCCGACAACGTTTCCTAAAATCGTGGCTCGTTAAACCACCACTACCCCCGCCGTCCAAAATTCGGGGGGACCGGTAGGCCAAATTGTGGATTCTGCTTTTGGCCTACCGGTAGCTGTGTGGTGGTCCCGCCACCGTCTCAGGTCTCCTTAGTTGTCCTAAGGGGGGGGGGGGGGACGCAGCACCCGAAAAGGTCGCAGCCTCTGTAGCAGTTCGTTATCCTGTGGGGGCTCGTTATCTTTTCTTTTGCACGGCAGTCTATCTTTTTTTTTTTTTTTTTTTTTTTTATTCCCCTGGTTCTTTTTTTCTTTTTTTCTTTTTTATTAGTTCATGTTTTAGCTGGCCTACTTCTACTACTGCCAAAGTAGATAAAGGACAAAATGGCTCGCTCTACGATGAATCTTCCACAAGAACATGGGAAGATACGCCGCCATATTGAGCCTCGCTCCACTACTCTCGACAAGCATAGAAGACAAAACTCATGGCAGTGTATCTTTCCATGTTCTAGCGAAAGATTCACTCTCTATTTGCACATTTCGAGTAGTGGAGTGAGGCCCATTGGAGAGAGAGAGGAACGGACGTAGCGGCGCAGAGAGAGAGAGAGGAAGCGGACATCGCGGCGCAGAGAGAGAGAGAGGAAGCGAA